TAGTAGGAGTAGTAACGAGCCCCATATAAGGTCGACGTTCAGGGCTCTACCTCGCGCGCCTGTTGCTCCGGGGGGCCGTGCGTACAGACGTTAAGGCCAGCCTTGGCGGGTTACATCCGCATGCTGCACGGTTCGGCCAGTATTGGCGATCGCACCAACTGGATCGTCATCATCGTCATCTATCCTCCTATCTCCTCCGTCTCCTTTTCCTGTTCCCGCACTTCCTGGGTGCGTCTGAGACAAGCGCGAATACCAGCTGTTATGAACCAGCCGTAAGACATGACAGTGGAGGCCCATGCCAAGAAACACCCTGCTTGCCTCCAGGGTGCCCTGGGTTTCGTGGGTTTCGATGGTTTTGCGATGAAGGCGTGACGTTCCCACACCAAAAATCAGTGGACGTCCTGGGGTCTCGGGGTTGAGTTTCCTGTGGCAAGTTTCTTGTGGACTGGCCTCCACAGTAACACATTGCGCCCACCCCAAGACTCCTCTCACACGGCTCGTGGCCACGTAGGGAGCCCCAGCGAAGGTCCATTTGCAAGAGTTCGCATGGCGCGCCCGCCTCCGGTGCGACACACCCTTCACACGTGTCGTGGCCCCGCAGGGAGCTCCACCTCCTTCGGCATATCTGCCTTGCGGTACTCACAGCTGCATATGGTTGACCCCTTGCTGGGTTATCTGTCTCATAACCTCATCCAGAGCCTCCTCTTTGGCGAGTTCCTGCGGAGTCGTAGGTCTCGGTAGGGTCTCAGGAGATTCACCGTTTACAGGTCACAGAAGGCAGGGGGGCGGGGTGCGCGACGGGAGCTGGCTTCTGAGAAGACGGCGGAGCTTCTGAGAAGACATGGGTGCTTCTCAGAAAAGCCCCCCCCCTCCCGGGCTTCTGAGCAGCCTCCTTAGAAGCCTCGGGGGCCTTCTTGAGAAGGCCCCGCAGTCTAAGGAGCCCCTCTGCCTGCTTAGAAGGCGCCCCCCCCCCTCGCGCCATCCCCGTCTGGGCGCCGCCCCCAAAAGACGCGCGGACCCTCGTTGTTTTTTGTTGTTTTGCTTTCTGCCCACTGGGGTCCCCCCGACCGCCGAAGGCCGTGCGGCCGCAGCGGCTTGTGCGCCTGCGGTTGTGCCCCCCCTCCCCCCCCCTCCCTGGCGCTCCCCTCGAAGTCACGCGCCAAAGACCACTCCCACCGACCCCTGGATGGGACAATCGTTGGCTCCCCCCCTGGGAATTTTTTTTTTCCCGCTCGGGGGGGGGGGGGGGGGGCGTTGGACTCGTGCTCTCGGAGCGGGTGGAGGGCTGGTGGGGTGGAGGGTCGAGGAGGAGAGGAGAGGAGGAGGAGGAGGAGGAGGAGGAGGAGGAGGAGGCGGAGGGGGAGGAGGAAGCGGAGGAGAGGAAGAGGACGGAGGAGGAGGAAGGGAGGAGGAGGAGGAGGAGGAGGAGGAGGCGGAGGAGGAGAAGGAGGAGGGGGCGAGGACGAGGAGGAGGACAAGAAGGAGGAGGAGGACGAGGAGGAGCAGGAGGAGGAGGAGGAGGAGGAGGAGGATGAGGAGGCCTTTTTAGGGCGACCTGCCAGTTCCCCTGAAGTATCCGAAGGCAGGCTGGGGGTGACCACTAGAATCCCCACGACTAGGGGGACCACCGGAATCCCCCAGTTCGGATTGTGCTAGCATGGCGCTCATGCGAGGACGAGCAGTGACGCAACTCGTATAGCTGTTTTCCACCCTGGCTTTGCGCTTGCACGACCAGGTCTGCAGAATTCCGAGTTCCGAGGAGGAGCGGGGAATGTGCGGACCCCCCGGGTGTGGGGTGTTTGCGTGCCTCTCGGCCCTCCCCTGCGCAGGGTCTGCCAGGTGGAGCTGCTCGGCGACCAGGCGGCGCAGGCGCCCCTGCGCGCTGGGTTGGGCGGGCTCCTCCTCCTCCTCCGCGTCCTCCTCCGCGTCCTCCTCCTCCGCGTCCTCATCCTCTTCGTCGTCCTCGTCCTCCTCCTCCTCGTCCTCCTCCGCGTCTTCCTTCTCGAGCCGTTTTGGCTCAAGGCTCTTTTTGAGTCAGGCTGCGCCTGCCCACGCACGACATTGTAGTCCTTTGGATGCCAGGCGAAGAAAGCCTCTTCGCACTCAGTGGTGAGGAGGACCAGGAAGATCGTCGTTCTGATAAGGTTACCCGGCGTAAGGAGATGGAGGCCGCTCAGTTGGAGACCATCATCGAACGTACTGCCATTCGAGCTGCCGAGAAAACTGAAGAGACGGTCCTAGTCCAAATCAAGAAACTCGCTGTCACCGTCGCCAGGGACACGTGCCGCGAGATGTCGACCGAGCTGGACACCCGCATGGAAGAGCTGGGGAGCAACGCCTCCTTGTTCGGTGGCTCCACTGGCTCCACTGCTGGCAGCGTGCACGGCGGTGCTGGTGGTGGCTCTTTTGACTACGGTGGTGACAATCGTATGCGTCATGTCGCTGGAAGTGTCGACATCACAGGTTTTGTGGAAGATTGGAAGGATCCCGATCCAACGTCCTTGACATCAGCTTTCGCTAGTAAGGTCACCCAGATCTTATCCCGAGCATTTCTACGTCGTCTTCATCCGTAACGAGTCCCCAACGGTGGTTGTGGAGCCTGACCCATCTTTCTCTGCTTTCCACCAGCAGGCTGCCAAGTTCTACAATGCCGTGGGAACTTTGAATCTGCCGAAAGTCCAGCTGAAGCCCGACTATTCCAAGATCGGAGGTGCACAACGCATCGTTACTCGTCGTGTGGAAGGGGTACTTCACCCTGTCAAGCTTGTCTCCTGCAACCTCAGCGCAGGCTGGTCTCTCGTCGTCAGCAGTTGGACACAGTGGTGATGCAACAGGGACGAGACCGCCATCATGAGCGCGATTACAGGCGCGGGACTGAGTACGGGAAAGGCACGGCTTTGGGGTTCATGTCGCACTGCGGGTATCACTCTTGTTTCTTGGCATGTCAACAATGCCCCGATGTCTACGTTGCCCGGCATCATATCACATGTGGTCTCTTTCCATGGTTGTGATGTTATTGTGAGTCTTCAATCATCTCCTTTGCATGATTATCATGATGCTGATTTGCACATCGGGAGCTGGGGGTATCACCGCAGGGAGGATTTGTTCATCGCGTTCCTCTGACATGCAAGTTTTTTTCTGTCAGGTGTTCAGTCGCGGTATGTCAGCAGGGCACGAGTGGCAGGGGTGATTATCCATTGCTTCTGTGCTCAATCCTGCTATTTGCCAGACTTTTGGGGCTGCGATTTATCCGATTTCAAAATATGCAGCCAAGGCGTGTCTCTAATCGTCGGACCGTCACGGCCGAGCGCGCCTCGCATCAGTCTCTCGCCCGCGCTATAATGGGGGACTTGAATGGTTTACTCCCTGGTATGGGATTGCGTCAGGTAGTCCGCGCCCCAACCCGTGGCCCACATTTGTTCGATTTGGCGCTCACGGACATTGACGGCATGACGTCGTTGCGCTTGTCTCGTCGGTGCTGGTTCTTCGGGCACGTAATGTTCGAAGGGAAGTTTGGCACCTCTGTGACGTGGTGGCGCGAACTCAACGTAGCATTGGCGAGCGTGGACTGGAGTTGTCTCGCGTTGACCCGGCAGGCGGCGCTGTCCAGATGACTGAATGAATTTCAGATTGTGCCAGGCGGTGCGTCCGGACGACGTGGATAACCAGTGAAAAATCGACGCATCCATGGTTGAACGTTCGGGTGGTCGAAGCTGTGGAGGCCAAGCGAAATGCGGAGGGTACTGCTCTGGAGGCCGAGATTCCTTCGAAGTGTGTCAACACCATAGTTGAGGAGTGCAACCAATGGTGTGGCGAAGTGACCTGACGAACTCGCTTCAATGCAGAAGAGATTTAAGAAACTGGCGGAGGAAACAACAGCAATTTCAATTCCAAAGAGCACGACCGCGCGCAATCCCAGCATTGAGACAGCCCAGTGGAGAGTGGGTCAAGGACCCGACTGGGCATGCGAATCTTTTGGCTCAAGCCTTCAGCGACAAGTTCCATTTACTTGATCGGGAGTATAACGAGTGTTCGCGTACTCGTTCTGTGGAGGCGACGTGGGACACGGGCCTGGCGGCGGCACTCAGCGCAGAGGGTGCCGAGTCCGTATTGCGTGCTCTCCGGGAGGGCAGCGCCGCGGACCCGGATTTGCTGCCGACGAGAATCGTGAGGAGACGTTCTGCTACTCTTGCTCTTCCTGTGTGTTAGCTGGGCGTGGCGATTCTTTCCTCGGGGGTGTGGCCAGCAAGCTGGGGCATCCATTGGACTGTTGCTGTAAATAAGAAGAAGGCAGTATTCGGTCCCAAGAATTGCTGGGGCGTGCGTCTCACTGCGCAGCTTGCCAAGGTCATCGAGAGATTCTTGCAGCCAGTCGTCTGCCCTGCGTTCATGTCAGAATCGAGTATCGGCCGTGATCAGTCTGCTTACAGTCGCGGCAGGGGCGCCCGGGACACTTTAGCATTCCTCGCTCTGTCTTGGCTGTCAGCGTTCTGGGAAAAATGCAAGTGGCATTGTATGCGTCCGACGTCTCTGCCGCTTTCGACAGGGTCTTCGTCGACAGGCTGGTCGCTATGTTGGCTGCGAGAGGGGCGCCGCTGGAAATTCTTTACGCTTCGCGTATCCCCACCAGCCCATCTCACAGCAGCAACTCTCGCGAAGCATGCCGACAGTCGTGTTTTTCAGGCGTGTGTCCGCTTGGCCCCGCATATCTCCCCTGTTCCTCCTTCCTCCCGCCTCCTTGTACATCCTCCTTGTGGGGGGAGCGGGAGAAGGACGAGGCGAAGGAGGAGGGAGAGAAAGCGCTCCTCGTGGTTTGAGTCGTTTGGGGTTTCTCGTCCTGGTCTGAGTCGTTCGGGCCCTTCTTCCTGGTGTGAGTCGTTCGGGCTCTTCGTGGTGTGAGTCGTTCGGGCTCTTCGTCCTGGTGTGAGTCGTTCGGGCTTCTCGTGGTGTGAGTTGTTCGGGCCCCTCATCCTGGTGTGAGTCGTTCGGGCCCCTCCTCCTGGTGTGACTCGTTCGGGATCCCGTGGTGTGAGTCGTTCGGGGCCCGCGTCGTGGTGTGAGTCCTTCGGGCTCCTCGTGGTGTGAGTCGTTCGGGCGCCTCGTCCTGGTGTGAGTCGTTCGGGCCCCTCCTTGTGGTGTGAGTCGTTCGGGCTCTTCGTGGTGTGAGTCGTTCGGGCCCCTCGTCCTGATGTGAGTCGTTCGGGCTCCTCGTGGGGCCTCTTGGGGGCCTCTTGGAGCCTCGTGGGGCCTCTTGGGGGCCTCTTGGGGGCCTCTTGGGGGCCTCTTGGGGGCCTCTTGGGGCGTCGTGGGCCTCTTGGGGGCCTCTTGGGGGCCTCTTGGGGGCCTCTTGGGGCCTCGTGGGGCCTCTTGGGGGCCTCTTGGGGGCCTCTTGGGGGCCTCTTGGGGCCGCTTGGGGGCCTCTGGGGGGCCTCTTGGAGGCCTCTTGGGAGCCTCCTGGGGGCCTCTTGGGGCCATCTTGGGGCCTCTTGCGACCTCCGCAGAAGCGCAAAGGAGAGCTGCCCCCTGAGAAGGACAAAATGGGCCAAAACCTTCGTACAATCAATGATTTTGCTATGAGGGAAGAGAAGCGCGGCCGTCTCAGGAGGCCAAAATGGGGCCAAAACCCTAGTAAAATCAATGATTCTGGCTTCAAAGAAGAGCAGAGGGGCCAAACTGTATCCCCCCGACGGGGCCAGAATCCTCGTGAGGGTCGTCGTTTTTTGCCCCTCCCAGGAGTCGAAAAAGACCCCCCTGACTACGCCCCGGACTCCCTGTCCAGGCCCAGGGGGAGGGGGTAGGGGAGGGGTAAACCCCTCCCCGAAGGGGAAGAAGGGGGGTTGAGGACAGAGCGGGCTCTCTAAACCACTCACGCCCAAAGGGCTGGTGGGATTCTACATCTTTTCAGGTTGTGGTTTGGCGTCCGAAGAGCCCAAGTCGCGGTGGGCGGCTGCAAGTCGATCGGACTTCTGCTGGGCAACATGGTGTTCCAGGGCACCGTCTGGGGACCGATGTTGTGGAATGTGTTTTACGCTGGTTCTACAGAGCCGATCAGAAGAGTAGAATTTTCAGAAATTGATTTTGCTGGTGACCTGAACGCGTTGTATGTTTACGGGGGCGCAGCCAGCCAGACCGCAATACTCGGCGACATGGACGCCTGCCAATGAGCTCCATCGGTGGGGCAAGCAGAACCAAGCTTCTTTTGATCCCAGCAAGGAACCCAAACAAATTTTATCCAGACCTCACCCATGCGGGGAAGCATTTCATTTATTGGGTTTGCACTTCTGATACGAAACTCACCATGGCCGATTCTTTGTTCCAGTAAGCGAAGGTTTGCCGGTGGAAGCTGAAAGCGATTTTGAGAACTCGGCAATGCAATACTGGAGCGCAGTTGATCCTGCTGTGTAAAGAAACGCAAGTTCTGTCCTTCATCGAGTACCGGTCTGCTGCAATCTATCGCGCCTGCAAGTCAGCGATGGAGGCTTCTGACCGATGCCGCGGGGATCAGCGAAACGGAGGCACTCTTGGCTTTCAAGCTTGCGCCATTGTCTTCAGAACGGGACATGGCGATGCTCGGTCTGATTTGCCGATCTGTCCTGGGGAAGGGTTCGGGGCATTTCAAGCAGTTCTTCAGCCCGACCCACAGACGGGGCATCGTTTGCAGCTTATCGAGTATTCCAACGGGCTCTGGAGCGATTTCGTTTTTCCCAACCCGCGCCCTGCTGATTATCTCAAGCATTCGCTGCTTGGGCTGGTTTCGATATACAGCAAGCTGCCGCCAGAACTCGTGGAATCTTCGCTCAGCGTGTCTGAGTTTCAGCGGGCGGTGCAGCATCTCATCACTGACGCCGCGCAGTCAGGCGACGACGACGACTGGGAGCACGCTTTCTGCCAGCCCCTGCCGTGGCACCGGCGCCCGCTCAGGAAACATATCTAACGACACATGCGTTGCTTGTAAAAAAGGAGAAGGGGGAGGAGGGAGGAGGAGGAGGAAGGGAGGGATGGAGGGGGGAGGGAGGGGGGAGGGAGGGGGGAGGAGGAAGGAGGGGGGGTAAAGGGAGGAGAAAAGGAGGAGGAGGACGGAAAAGAAGGAGGGCGAGGAGAAGGAGGAGAAAAGAGGAGGGAGGAGGAAGAGGAGGAGGAGAGGAGGGCGATGATGATGATGAGATGATGATGATGATGATGATTGATGATGATGATGATGATGATGATGATGATGATGATGATGATGATGTATGATGATGATGATGATGATGATGATGATGATGATGATTGATGATATGATGATGATGATGATGATTGATGCTGATGCTGATGCTGATGCTGATGCTGATGCTGATGATGATGATGATGATGATGATGATTGATGATGATGATGATGATGATGATGATGAGATGAGGAGGAGGAGGAGGAGGAGGAGGAGGAGGAGGAGAGGAGCAGGGAAGAGGAGGGCGATGAAAATTAGTGGGAGGAGGAGGGCGAGGAGGAGCAGGGAAGAGGAGGGCAAGGAGGAGGAGGACGAGGAGGAGGAGGGAGAAGAGGATAATGAGGATGAGGAGGATGAGGAGGACGAGGAGGAGAAAGAGCAGGGAAGAGGAGAGCGAGAAGGAGGAGGAGGAGGAGGCGGAGGAGGATGAAGAGGAAAAAGAAGAGGAGGCGGAGGAGGAGGAGGAGGAGGAGGAGGGAGGAGAGGAGGAGGAGGAGGAGGTAGGAGGGCGAGGACGAGGAGCACGAGGAGGACGAGGAGGAGGGAGGAGGAGGAGGAGGAGGAGGAGGAGGAGGACGCTGAGGAGGAGGAGGAGGAGGAGGAGGAGGAGGAGAGAGAGGAGGAGGAGGAGGAGGAGGAGGAGCAGTACGAGCAGGAGGAGGAGGAGGAGAGGAGGAGGAGGAAGAGGGGGCTGAGGGGGGCGGGGCCGTCGTCGCCGTCGGTCGCCCCCTCGTGCTCGGGCTCGCGCGCCGCGCGCCATCGACGCCGCGGCCGCGGCAGGCGCCCGCCAGGACGCCGCGGGTCTCGGAGCCCGCCTGGCATCGTCGCCAGCGCCAACAGCGAGCGCAGGCGAGGACCCTGCTGAGGGTCGTGTCCGCTGCCAGGACGCTCGCGGCCCACCATTCCGCTCAGCCTCAGGACCAGCTCGAGACGATGACGAGAGGAAAGGGAGGCAGCAGCGGTGCCAGAGGAAACAGTATGGGGGGACTTGCGTCTCGCGCCGCGGGTCCCCCGATAGGTGAAAGACAATTCCCGTGGCGAGAAGACCGTGCTGCACGTGACCGAGCAGGAAGCCGACGACGTTCTCAACAGCACCACCAGCACGACCAGCGCAGCGTCAACGACAGAGGACACCGCCACAACTACTACCACAAGCAGTATGGAAAGACCAACTCCAGCAACGAGAACGAGCACCACAGTTACCACAACTACGACTCCAGCTGGAAGAAAGGCTCGAGGACTCGAACTACCTCACGAAAGGCATCGCGTACTCCGACAGCCAGGGACAACGGCCACGACGTCTTCGACAGCTTGCAGTTCACCAGGAAGCAGCGCGAGATCATCGACACGGTGATGCCAGCAATGGAGCACGACATGGTTCAGCATGAGAGCTACTCGCACCCACCCGTGGAGAAGGACATGCTCCAGCTTTGGATCAGCACCAAGAAAGGACGTGCAGGGCGACTCGCAGACCAAGCCAGTGGAGCCAGAGCCGTGGGCGTGGACGACACGAAAGTTGTGGAGGAACTGGCCATCACGAAGGCGATGATACTGCTCACGGTTTCGGCAGAGGAACGGGTCGACTACTACAGGCACTGCATCGACAGGACGAACAGGAGGAAGGGCATCATCAGGGACGAGATCAAGCAGCTCCAGAACGAACACGACGGCATCGAGAGCGACCTCAAGTCATTACGGGCCCTGATGAAAGAAGCGAAAGACAAGCGCGACCACGACCTCTACTCGGATCTTGAGGACGACGACTACTACGGAGACCAGGAAGAGCACGAGCGAGCAGCACATGTGGTAAGAACTGCACGAGCACAAACACCACATCCGCGAGCACGCGAAGAGCGACGCACAACGGACGCACCTCACCCACGACAGCGCGAAGATCATCGACCCCAGCAGTACGCAGCACCAGCAGCAGCACCACTTCGACAGCAGGACGACCCACACCAA